TTGTTTTGCATCTTACTGTCATAGTTTTCTGTTTCTTTGCGTTCATTTTCTGTGTCTTTGTGGTTGTTTTGCATCTTACTGTCATAGTTTTCTGTTTCTTCGCGTTCATTTTGTGTGTCTTTGTGGTTTTACATCTTACTGTCATAGTTTTCTGTTTCTTTGCGTTCATTTTGTGTGTCTTTGTGGTTGTTTTGCATCTTACTGTCATAGTTTTCTGTTTCTTCGCGTTCATTTTGTGTGTCTTTGTGGTTGTTTTGCATCTTACTGTCATAGTTTTCTGTTTCTTCGCGTTCATTTTGTGTGTCTTTGTGGTTGTTTTACATCTTACTGTCATAGTTTTCTGTTTCTTTGCGTTCATTTTGTGTGTCTTTGTGGTTGTTTTACATCTTACTGTCATAGTTTTCTGTTTCTTCGCGTTCATTTTGTGTGTCTTTGTGGTTGTTTTACATCTTACTGTCATAGTTTTCTGTTTCTTTGCGTTCATTTTGTGTGTCTTTGTGGTTGTTTTGCATCTTACTGTCATAGTTTTCTGTTTCTTCGCGTTCATTTTGTGTGTCTTTGTGGTTGTTTTGCATCTTACTGTCATAGTTTTCTGTTTCTTCGCGTTCATTTTGTGTGTCTTTGTGGTTTTACATCTTACTGTCATAGTTTTCTGTTTCTTTGCGTTCATTTTGTGTGTCTTTGTCGTTGTTACGCATCTTACTGTCATAGTTTTCTGTCTTCATGTTCATTTTGTGTGTCTTTGTCATTGTTTTGAGTCTCTTTGAAGTCGTTTCATTGACTTACACATTCAACAGAGGCTCAGTGATTACTGAACTCACATATTTAGTGCCACAAAGCAGTGCAATATTATTTTCTTGTGTGTGTGTGTGTGTGTGTGTGTGTGTAAACATATTAGAGGCCTTTTCTACCTCTAATCATTTGTATACATATAAACACATTCTCTCTTCTCTCTTTCTCCCCTTTTCTTTCTCTTCCAACATTGCTGATTTGTTCTCTCTGTCAGTATCGCTCTCCAGCCCCACCCCCCACACCCCCCACACCCACCCACACCACCCACCCATCATGCCGTCTGTTTGCCTCTCTCACTCATTTTTTTCAAAGGATTACAGTAAAATTTGAGGCCAAGGATTATGAAAATCAATGTTATGTTCAGTTGCAATAAGGTTTGCTGCTAAGGATTTGTACACATCATGAGACAGTCAGTGGATATGTTGGACTCAGCCGCTGTGCATGTTTGTGTGTGCGTGTGTGTGTCTTTACATGTGTGTAAAGTGGCCTTTTCAGTTGAGAGCCAGCAGACAGTCTGGGGGCGGAGGGACTTTGATGGGAGGGGAATAATTGCAAGGAGCTAATCAATACGACACATCCTGCTAAGATAGTAGCTTCATGCACACATGTCACACACACACATACACACACACTTAGGTATGTACGGTACACACATTCACACATGCCCCTAACTTTCATTTAACACTTCTCTCCCCCTTTGTACCTCTCTGCAGAATGTGTGAAGCAACGATGTGTGTGAGAGAGAGAAAAGGGGAAAAGCAAGGTTTATCACGAAGCAATTGCTTTTCTCGTGCATGTATATGTCTGTTTGTGCACGCCTGTCCGCAGGTGTTCAAGTGTGTGTGCGAGCAGCATTAGGATGTGTTGACGCACTGCAGTCTAGTGGTATAGTGCCTATTGTGGAGAAAGTGAGAGGCCTCATTAAAAATGTATGGAGCCCAGACATAAGCCACCGACCAACAGCGGCCTCGCGGGATGGCCGAGACTCTGAAAGCTCTTCTGTGATGGGTTGTGGAGGGTGGGAAGGGGATGCATTCATACGTGTGCTGTATTAAGCCTACACCTATACTTTTTACAGTGGTGGATGTGTGGAAAATTTCCTTTCGAGCTCAGAAACTCTCAAGATTTTGATTCTTAGTTCCTTGCAATCTTCTCGCTGCCTCCTTTCATGCTGAAACTATTCTCATTTAGATACTTTTGTGATAACGCAGACACTTTAATTGTAAATCTAATCTTGTCTTGAGGGTGGCTGCAGCAAAATTAGAGTCTGTTTTATAATCTTTAAAGGTTAACCCCTAACTTAATTTTTTTTCTGACTTGCCTCTAGTGATATCTAGCTATGCAGATGATTTGGGCTTTAACTGGTTTTGAGAAATCTGCTTGGGAAATCTGCATCCACCTTAAAGGCAAGCTTAAGTATTTTTCAACCTGTACCCTATTCCCCCGTGTTTTTTGTGTCTTTGTGACTAATTGGGACAGCATTTGTTTTAAATTGGTTCAGTATTGAGCGAGCACGGCAGCAGTGAGACATTGCTGCAGTGTAATCCTTGCGGGCTATTGCGCCCCGTCACAGCATGTCCACTAAAGTGCTTGTATTTGCCAGTGACAGGCTGAGATTGTTATTAGAAGTGTCTGACAACATTATGGAAAGGATCCCTACAGAGGTAGACCTTCTAAGAGTAGGATCCTTTTTGTCGCCGGTATATCGCCCTGTTCAAAGCCACCAGACTCCATTGACAAAAACAGTAATTTGAGTAACTTCAGCATTTGCCTTCAGCCAAGAGGAGCTAGGGTCTGTGCTTTTGAAGTAGCATCAGTGTACATTTTGCATCTCAAATGAGTAGTGACATGTCTATTGCCACGGGTACATTTTATTCTACCACTGTGTATTTTGCAAACTGAAAATTCAATGTAAAGTTTTCAGGCAGTGTACACAGGAGAGTCTGACACTTCTTTCAGTTCAGGGTTCCCTTCCAGTGAAAAGCTTGGCACATGTGAAAACGCAGATTGCTAGCGAGAGAGAGGCGGGCCAAACGCACTGACAGACAGACACATCAAAGGCGCAGGAGTACAGAGACAGAGTGCTGAAAAGATTGTTTTTTGACAGCCGTATACATTTTTGCCAAGTGTCACAAAGTATTTGTGTCGGTTCTGCAGTCGTGCATCGATGTAGTCATACCACTGGTTCAAAACTTTATACCCCTGATTGGAAGCAAATGAAAAATCATTTGTGGTGAAAAAATGACCTTTAAAAATTTCAACAGCAAACCATCTTTCCGCAACGATATCCTCACAATTCATTGTAAATGGCTATTTCTCCATTTACAATGAAAACTGTTGACAGCGAGGTCTGAAAACCTCAGCAAATAAAACCCAAACTATCTGCATGGTTAGAGATTGTCTAGGGGTTGGACAGACCCTTGTGAACTGAACCTTTAAATCACGGTGTTACAGTCTCATTGTGTAACCCTCTGCAGTGGCAGGTCAATCACAGCTGCGTCGGCTCACCTTTAGTGTCATCTGGGATTGTGGATATTGCGCACCTTTACACAACCGTGTCTTCTCTGATGCATAACGAAGCCTTTCTTCACATCATTCTTACTTTGCTGATCCATCATTACACCAGTAGCTGAGCACTGCCACGCTTTGCTGCATGGCGTTTCAATCAGCATCAATGTCAGCAGTAAGATTCATCATGGCTGATTGTGAAGGTATCTGTGTGTGTGTGTGTGTGTGTGTGGGCACACGTTTATGTGTTGGCGGGCGCCCACGTGGGCGTGTATGCAAATGCAGCTGTAAGACAGCTGAATGCCTGTGCTTTACAGAGAGCTTGGCACCATGGGAAAATGAAAAGACCGGGAGAATAATGACAGATTTATAATTACAGAATCTAGCGTTCAGCGCTACTCAGCAGCAACTCTCTGGGGAAGGCAATCTGGGTGTAATTTCTGCTGATCAGGCCCACCGCACACTTAAGGTTCATACTACACGTACACTAAAATACACACGTGCCCACACACATACGAGCACACGCACGCAGGTGTGTGCGCTCGCTCTCTCGCGGACGCGGGAGAGCCTGCGCTGACTCGCGCGCACACAGACACACAAACATGTCTCACACTTAAATTTCACAGAAAATTGTGGTGCGACTGCAAATTTGCCAGCTAATTTGCGCGAGCTAAAAGCATCAAGTGAGCGCCTGATTTACTGAGAAATGAATGTATTACAGCCTGCCACAAAACACACCAGAAATATCAGATTTCTGGAAGGAAGTAACTGATTCAATATACAGAGAAGACAAAACAGAACTAATTTGAAAGCATACGGATGTAAGCAGTAATTTGCCACACACTTTTAATTTGACTTTTACTCAGTTATGTAGAAAAGCTTTTCCAAACTTGCACTTAATGTAATTATCTGTTGTAAGCAGTGAATGCATTCATTTCAAGCTAATCAGTGATTATAACTTGCTTGATGAAATGACAGAGAATTTCCATTTGAAGGTAATGCAGGACACACTTTCGTGCTCAGCTGTGTCATTTGATACACCAGTAATGCCTGATCATTTTTAGAATTTCTCAGCTGAGTGGGTTTTGTTGGAGGACATTATAAAGACATGGTGTAATACCAGAAGCAAGCTGTTCTGCAATCTTCAGTGACTTTTTGTCCCTGCTTCAGTGTGCGTTCTGATAATATTAGCTTAGAAGTTATTATTTTCCATTTGAGTTATTTTCAATGTTATCTAAAATAAATTATGTGTCTGAAAGCTTGAGAATGGTGGCTGTTTTTTTTTTTTTTTGCTACAATTTCCTCCACAGTACTAAAATGTACAGCTTTGTTATCTACAATTCTTTCATTATTAATAGCTTCCTGCCATTGTAATGCTACATCATTTGTCAATCAAGCCTTCTGTGCAGCCTGTCTCTTTTGTAAATTTAAATCCATTTGCTATTGTGTCAGATTGAATGTGCCAAAACCCAGTCTGAACAGGATTACTATGCATGGTCCAACATCCTGACGGAGTGCAAGCTGTACTGCTTTTTTATTTATTTTTTTCGGCCTCATTTTTAATCCCCTAACGAATTTCGGTCCCTCACAATCAAACACACACATAAGTCTTTCAACGATAAAGATGCACTCATTTATTTTAGATCTCGACCTGGATGATAAATAGGAGGTTTGCTGCAATATTATTTCTTGTTATGCAGGTGTGTTTGCAACATCGACTGTTCCCACATCAGCTTCAACCCGGTGTGTGCCTCCGACGGTCGTTCCTATGACAACCCCTGCCAGGTGAAGGAGGCGTCCTGTCAGAAGCAGGAGCGCATCGAGGTCAAGTACCTGGGCCACTGCCAAGGTCAGACCCGCACACACAAACACACGCATGCATGCATTTATACGTTCATTCCAGAAGACACAACAACACCTTCACGCACACAGCGGAAGCCGTCAATCTGTCGGGCAGGTGTTCACTTCAAGTTGAAGTGAGTCCGTGGGAGCAAAATGAGGCAGCTTGCACAGCTAACCGCAGACACCGTGATTCCATATCTCCCTCCAGCCGCAGTTCCAACATCATTTCATGATTACATATATTTTCACTCAATCATATTTTGGAATAGTGTGCAAACATAATCCTCCAAACCCCACATCGCCTTCGCTGCTGTGCATATTGATAATTTAATCCCCCCCTTTTTTGGTCTAGTTTCTTTCATTTGGGTGCAGTATTTGTTTGTAACGGTTCCAGGGATAAAGTTATTTTATTAATCTCTGCGGTGAAATCCCTAAACTGAGTCATATTGCTAATCCACATTGGAGAAGACAAAGGCACATAAGAATTATTCTTTTGAATATGATTTTTTAATTATTTTAGTGGAGGTGTGATCCACTAACATCTTATTTTTTTCTCTGGCTGAGGCTGCTGTCAGGAGGGAGGGAGACTTCTCCATAGCCGCAAACCAGGGAGGTGTTCAAATCTCCTTTGTCAGCAGCAGTATGAGTGCATTTGCAAGCTTTTGATCGGCTCTGCGCCCACAAACAGGACAATTTATCGAGATGCGAGAATCACGAAGGCTTTGAGAAGTAATAAAGCAGTCAGGGCTAACCAGCTCTGGAACACATGTTCCCTCCACGTTACCCCCTCTGGGTCAGACCACCCTGATCAATTTGATCACGCCTCCACACATACTGTTTCAGTCTGGGAAAGTGGAGAGGGAAACAAATGTCATGAAACTGAGGAATTTAGACCTGTGAAAAAGTAAACCTTGTGTTAGCAGGGATTCAAAGTGGCACCTTGATATTTAGACTGCTGCTTTCTGTGGTTCATGCGTCGCTTTATATTGAAACCGTTTTACATTTTATTTTTTCTGTTTCTGGAAATAGCCCTGCTCTCTGCTGTATCTGGGACAACAAAAAGTACTAATGAGCCTAAGATTTTTCGTTTATGCACTTGCAGCATGTGTTGTTTCATCAAGACCTCAAGTTGTCATCGCTGTGTGGAGGTAGGAAGAATTAAAGGAGGAAGAAAGAACATTTTTGTAGCGTCTCCCCTCTGAGCAGCCTTAAAGTTCATTTGGTCTAATATTTGATTTTTCTTACGTGGATGTCAAACATACAAGACACTAGCTTCTGATCTCACCGAAACGCTGCTGTGTTTCTTTTGTTTTGTTCTCCTCCGGTGCAAATAAATAAGGAAAAGAAGGGGGGGAGAAAGAAATAGTGAATAAAAAGCCTCAGACCTAGGTACATGTCTTGCCAAAATTGCATCATAAACCTGGGAAACACTTTCACAGACTCTGTTTGATGGAATGGATTCGCTGACCACGGGAAAAAAATCAATTACAATAAAATGATAATGATTGGACGGAGATTTTGTCTAGCCTTTGTGAAAAGAGGAATTCAATGTAGCGTCAATAAGGTGTGCAAAAATGCATTATTTCCTCTGATCTTTTGTACCCGACTCTGCTCCATTCTACCCTTTGTGCAGTGGAATACATTAGTGGCGATGGTTTCTGACTTTTGAAGAGAATAGTTCCCATTTATACACATTAACTAAGCAGGTGCACACACCACATGAACCTTTTGTTGAGATTATAATTCACATGCAACTCTCTGCACCTGCAACGGCATCAGTCTGAACGTGTCACCCACAACGGAGGTGGGGTTGGAACTATAGGAGAGCTTGTCGTGACCTGAGTTTAGTTTGAATGTGTCTTGTGGCTTTTCCCAGGCGACATCATAACGGGGAACAAAGGTGGCGATGGACACTTCGCGCGGACCGACCTCACCGGTGAGTGCATGTTTAAACGGTGGCGGATTGGCAAACAACATTTTCAGCCACTCAAAGCTGCATCAGCGCTAATTCTGTTCAGTCTCTGAGACTTTTCTCTCCCTTTACCCGTTTCTGTCCTTGACTTTGTTTCATCTAGTCCTCTCTTTCTTACTTTGTTGTGTCTTCCTTGTGGAGTACAGTAATGTATGTGCACAGGCGGCCATGAGCAGAAGTATTTATGATGTTGTGTATGTGTTTACGCAGTAGAGGAAAAAGAAGATCAGAGGAACGGACTGGCCCGCGGCTTGTACATACCCTGTCCAGATCACTACAAAAACTACTGCGTCCATGGAGAGTGTCAGTTCCCCAGTATCCTGGCCCAGCCCTCCTGCAGGTACACACACACACACGTACAGTATTACTATGTTTGTGAGGACAAAGGATGGGTAGGGATAGGGCAAACAGAAAATGATACAGATACTACATACATCACTAGTATTTTGGTGGAATTTGTGCCTTTTTTGACAATGTGGACCATAAGGAGGTGAAAAGAAATGAGGGGAGAGAGGGAGGAATAATATGCAACCAAGGTTCCCAATCAACTGAGGCCATTGCAATCATAACATATGGTCTGCATCTTAACCACCATTGACCATTACAGTTAATGCCACAATATTTGAGGACGAGTTTTGAAAAATCCTACTGAAAAGCTATGTAACCTCACACTGTTTTCTAAACATGGTATAATTTTAGCATGATACACTTAAGTTGGGGCTACTGATTATTAATTCATAATAAGATGAATGGATTTTTTAATGTATCAATAAGGCTATATTTGGAGTAGCTAATTATGGGTTACCGTGCATGGATCCTTATATGGCAATCAATTAGACTATATTACTCTTAGATATTATTGCCTACATTGTTTTTACAGTGTAACTCTTATAGTAGCGCAGCTGTTAACAAATCCCACATAAAGCAAAAGGATGCTGCAGACACTGAAACAAATTGCATAATATAAGATTTCTAATCACTTGAAACATTGAGAACGTGCTAGGGAAGTGCTGGAGCCCATTTATTTTTTAATCAGGCTTGTTTATCTTGTGTGAATACAATGTGCTGAGAGGGGGAAGAGCCGGCTGTTGACCAGTCAAATATGCTGCAGTGCTTCACATTAATCCCATGTTGGATTTCTCACTCCTAAATGAGGATGTTGGCGTTTCCTTCCCCTCACGTTATGATGTGGTTTCACGAGTTTCATTTTGATTTGTTGATGATTTCATCTTGAGAGCCCACACTCTGCCGCACCGTCATCTGTCTCCCAGTGATAATACTTGGCTGTAAACGCACCACCATGCACCATCATTGATGACTGACACCTCGAGTGTATCATCAGCAACTTCCCAGAAGTTATGAAATACTTTGGTATTGTTTACAGTAGCAAAAAAAATATATAAAACAGCAGGCAGCTGTTAAAAAGCTCTGATAAACCCACGGTACACTCAGCACCAAGCAGTGATTTGGCAACTAGCTGGTGTGGAGTGCTACTCCTTATCAGTGCAAACAGCAGAAAACAACCAGTTAAAACGAGCACAACCACAAAAGATATTGCTTTGAAAAAAGGGACAAAAAGCTAAAGAGCTAGATGTTTCCCTCGGGGGTTGGTGGAGACCAAAACACAGGTATAAGGAGATTCAAAGATGGATTTACATTGGCCAGAAACGCGTTAAATAGACTTATATATTTGCCATCGCTACGTCATAAGGTGATAAAATGTTAGTGTTTGTTACAGTGTCCGCAAGTGGCCAAAAATGTTAATGCAGTGTTTAACATGTCCATCCATTCATCTATACCCGTTTATCCGTGCAGGGTCACAGGGGGTAATGTGACCGCTATATGCCTGCTACTTACTCCAAACCTTGACCTAACCCTAGTCCTAATCTAGTCCTGACCCTTAACCATCTCCTTGATATGGGTTTGGCCTTCATTTTGACTATGATAACTTTGTACTCAACAATCCGAGCTAAGATTTTAATGTAGCTCAATTGTTAATAATTACTATTATTATTTTTATTATTACACGTCACATGTCCAAATTGCACCAAATGCGACACAGCGTTCCCTTGGATCTGCAGCACGAACCATGCGTGATGTTGATGGGATGAAACACAACCAGACACACACAGATTCCTGCCTATTGGAGAGATACTAGTGTTAAATAGACTAACACATATCACGAGATGATAATATGTCGTGTTTACATTGTCCACAAGTGGAAAAAACATGGCCCCTACGTGCCTAATCTTCCTCCAGCCCTTGACCTAACCCTATAGTCCTAAACCCGAGGCTTTGTTTCTTGGCCTGTTTTTTCTTTTTTCGTAGTGGTTCCCTCATCTCAGAAAATGACTTTGGTGAATACAACGTTATCCAAACCAGTACAAACAATGGCTAGTCAAAAAATATGGTTCAATCAATTGGATATATCCTATAAAGAGGCAAGGAGCAGCACGATAAGTATAGAAATACAAAAGAATATGCAGCAAGCGAGCAAATACAGACACACAAACACATTTACAGAAAAGCAGTCACACAGGCGCAGATGAGAGTGCACTTGAACACAGGCAGCACAAACATGCATTTACACAAAAGCACAATGAAAAATTGTATTAAAACTCACCACCCACACGCAAACACACACGCAAATACACACACACAGTCATGTATATGGTCTACCAGGTCTACCATCTTTTACAGCCTGGTAGTTTAGCAGCCAGGGGATCTTGGTATCTCCCTCCGTCTCTCTCCTTTCTCTCTAACCTCGCTAGTCAGCTCGCCCTGCCAGACACTCTTGTTGCATACAGAGAGGGAGTGGGTCTCTGCTGCCCCCTACCGGCTGCAGGGACTGGAGGCGGCATCCTAATGAGGAGGGGAGCGCAGTGGTCTCTGTGGGAGTGGTGCACGTCTGTGTGTGTTCATGTGTTAGGAAACAGAGCACAAACCCCAAACAGAACAAGGCTGCAGTGTTCATCTCACACACTCTCAGGTCGAAGGGATAGAGAATGTGAAGGAGACTGAGTGTGAGTCTGTGTGTTTGTACCGAACAAGGATATGCAGGTGTTGGTGGGTAACAACCTCCCCAGAGACAGGGGAGGCAGGTAAAGACATGGAGAGGGAAAGAGAGATTAAAAAGGAGACCATTTTAGCTCCTCTCTGAGGACAAAGATCATCTCCATTAGTCTCTCTCTCGCTGCCTCTGTGTGTGTGTGTGTGTGTGTGTGTGTGTCTAGCTCTCTGAGACTACATCCACACTAAGCTGGATGAATCTGCAAACAGTCTGTGAAAACAGTGTGCGTCCACACTGTCTTTATCAGGTTGTTTTTAGAAAGCTCGTCATCCATACTAAACTACCGTAACCACCTGAACCCTTCATCTTCATCATCTTTTGGTCAGCAAACAACAACAACAACAACGCTGTTGTTTATAGCCAGCATCTGTTAAGGAGCCAGACAAGTCTCGATTTTATGAGCGCAATATCGTGTGATAAATGCAGCTTGAAGACAATACCTGTAATGTGCAACTGGTTGTACTGTATATTTATGTAGAATTTTAATAATAACCTTCAGTTTTTCCCATCTGTACTAAAATGTGAGGCTGGCATTTTTTTTAGATCCACTTTGAGAACACGAAAGTCCTTATTTTAGCCCAAACCATAATCTTTCTCTGAACTTTCTCTGAACCAAACCGACCATTAACCATGGAGGTGTCAAAGGATAAAACAGAATGATTGATTTTTAACTGTTTTGGAAGATGTACAAATAAGAAGGTCCTGCCGCTAGGGGGCGTCAGATACTAAAATGCTATGTGTTGTTGGAGAGGACGTGGAAAAACAACTTCATTTGTCATTTAATTCTGAGGACTTGTTGGATACAGAGTGACTGTTGGCTTGCGTGTCTACAGCTGGGGATATAAACTGCATGCTACTACTGAATTGGAGACTTTGACAGGCGTGGAGAGCGGTAGGTTTGCTTTGGAAATCGCCAAAAACAACAAGGCTGCCGAGTCAATGAAATGAATGAAAGGAAGCTCCTTGATGTCGTCTTCACTATCAATCAGCTGCCATCAGAAACATGCAAGAGACAAATCTAAGAGAAAATGATGCCTTTTTAAATGTGGCTGCTTAGTGCGAACATACTCACACGCTCTCTCTTCCTCTTTTCCCTTGCCCGCTGCAAACCTTATCCGTCACGGTCATAAACAAACGAGACAAACAAAGAAAAAGCACAGTCACACAAACGCATTGTTCCGCCACAATGTCAGGTACCAGACGGCTGCTGACGTTTCACTTAGAAACACAAAAATAATTAACCTGCTAACCTCTCAGTGCAACAAATGACTTCCTATCTCTCTCTTTTCTTTCATCTCTCTTGTGGGGCTTGTGTGTGTGATCTCAGCTGTCACTCGGGTTTCAGAGGCCCCCAGTGTGACATCAAAGAGTACAACGTGCTCTATGTGGTGCCAGGCTCTGGCAAACTGCACTACGTCCTCATCGCCTCTATCATTGGAGCGCTCCAGGTGGTCATCATCTGTGTGGTGGTGCTCTGCATTACCAGGTGAGTCATGCCCGAACAGACACACAGACAAACACAGCTTCCTAATGAGCCTGGGAGCCAGTATTTTCCGTGTAGCGTGTATTTGAGAGTCACAAGGGGGGCTGTGGAGCTCCTGAGCCGGGAGGAAACAGCTGAAAGGTCACCTTGCTTGCACCACAGAGGGAAAGTAGTCCCTTTCCCTGTGGATACACACCCACACGACTGACAGCGTGTGCGTACAAGCGTAGATACAGAGATATCTGTGTAGGCAAGCAAACTCACTTGTGTTTGAACAGGCGTTTTGTATTCACAGTAGAAGCCCACACACACACACACGCACACACACATATATAGCCGGCAGCTTGTCTGCCTCCGGCTGACCTAAGCAATTTATGACATTTAATAAAAGATTTTAAAAGAGTTTTGGCCGAGACGAAACTGCTCCTCTGAGCAAAGTAGGGGAAGAGGAGGGACGAAATGAGAGAGGGAGCAGTTGTAAAGGGTGAGGGTGAGAGGGTACAGAGAGAAAATAAAGAGGGAGAGAGAGAATTATAACACTGAATACAACCACCCTGCCGTTAATGCTTCCTGCTGCTCAGTGATAATCATTTAAAGCAAAAAAGTATAAAAATCCTCAGCCTTGTAAATGTCCACAGTGCATTGTGGGGCTCGTAATTGTATCAGTGCAGTCTAGTGAATGGACAAATGTGTAAATGTGTGAATGAATCTATGCAGACATACATGTCAGTGCGTATTGACTCGCTCACCTCAGTGTCCTATCTCTGTTGGACAGACTCTAGGCTATAGTTCCTGTTTTGTGTTTTATGAATGTTGCAGGAGTTTGTATGTGATTTCCACTTATTATAAAGACTTGCCATTCACTTAAAGGACAAACAGGTGGGAGTGGGAAAGGTCATCTCCATGCTTTGCCTCCTGTGTGTGACATTCTGTCACATCACGGAAAAGGTCCGCTCGAAAGGGTTTCACTGCAAGATCCCACACACTTGGATATCGTGCCTGCTGTTGACAAGTCCTATAAAAAGACCAACACGAACAATGTGTTTGTTTGTTTCTCGAAACTCAGCTATTGCTTTGCACTCAAGGCAATTAGCTTCATGAGCAGCAGTGAGTGTTGCAGCAAGTTCTTGCAGTCTTTTTATGCCCTGGGCTTGGCCTCTCAGGCTAGATTTCTCAGGCTGTTGAGTCAGGCTTAAACAGTACTTTATCTCTTCACTTTTTTCAGGTTTAAAAAAAAAACAAAAAACAAACAATCCATGTATTTAACTAAACTGTATATCTTTTTATTTACTTTTTAAATTTAACATAAATTAAAGACATGTCAGTAAAAAACTTGTATTTTTAGTAAAGATGAACATGATCTAACAAAGTTTGAAGTCACTATCAAAGAAACTAAAGATGTATAAACAATACAAAGAGTTACATGGCAGGAGTGACTCAAAATACACAACAGTGTTCATTTACATGAAGCAACATGTCACCCAGAGCACTGGTGTGTTTTCGAGCAACAATGGAGCTCTTTGACATTGGCCTTGGCTACGCAGACAACTAGGGCTGACCCCGAATAGTCGAAGATTTGATGCTTCGATGGGCGGAGCCTGATTCGACTGAAAAGAATAAAACTTTCAATAAATGTGTTAACATAAAATTGCGTAAATAAATCCAACATTGTAACCCTAACCCTGGGTCGTCGGTGTGCATGTGTAGACGTAGCATGTATGTGTGCATCGGAGTTGCTTGAGAAGGATCTTTCACAGCTGCAGTTTCTTACAGTAGCATATAGCTAACCCCCTATGTGTATCTTTTTGCACCCCTCCCCTACCTTCTTCCACGTACAGGAAGTGCCCACGGACCAACAGGATCAACCGGCAGAAGCAGAACAATGTCCACTTCAGTTCAGAGAACACCATGCGCGCCTCCACTCGACTTATCTGAGCCCAGACACACCAGACAAGAGAACCCTCCACTCTCCGGAGCGCTGCGGCGTTAGATGTTCCCCGTTGTAGGCCAACCCCGCGAAACTTAGGATCTGCATCCCCTCACTCCTCGCCCTCTCTCCCAGTATGAACTTTAAGAATACCCGGGGAGGACGGTGGCGCAGCAAAGACCGAGCTGGCGTAGCAGTCGGCGATGGGACTCGACGCGTGGTGTAATGTTGTCATCAGTCGCCGACGCCAACCGCCCAGTTGCCGATGTGTCTCCTTGCACCTTGTCACTTCCGCCCAGGGTTTTTCTGACAAACTGAACCACGAGGTGTCGGGGGAGGGGGGGGACGAGGATACTGAATGTGTGTGTGTGTGAATGTGTATTAGATGTGTGAGCTTTGTTAGAGGCGGGCTAGCCGGTGTCTGTTGTTTGTAGATGAGGGGTTAAAGCAAATCGGGGTAGTGCAAAGCAGGGTAACAGGCTTTAAATGAGGTGTGTGTTGTTTGGTCTGGGAGAGGGGTGGTGGGGTGGGCGTTGGGGGGGCGTGGGGTTCGGGGCTACACGTGATGCCTTGCACTTTGTGTTATAGGAGACCTTTGACAGAGGGCACAATGTTATTATAGAGCTCTCTGTTCGGTTGTGACGATGACGTCAGCTTCTGTATCTTGGGTTCTATTTACAATAGTTATTACTACATTGTGTTGATGGGGTCATTTTTCTGTAAATGTAAATAAATAATTTATATCACGAAATGTAACATGCTGTTTCGGTCTTTGTCTGTGGTGTGGCATTTCATAATGACTAAGCAATGATTTGAAGTTAATATGTGTTATTGTCACAATTACGCTTTAACTTCTTAATAACCTGAGATATATTTATGATGTTTAAAGTTTCATATTTGGAGTTATGTCAATCATACACGTCAAATATTGCGTATCCTTAAATGGTGGAACAAAATACCTACATTATGGTTGCAATTCTTCCATCAATGAATAGACACAGAACGCATCTTGTGCTCCTCAAAATCCATTCTGAAATTGCTTTTTCTTTGGTGGAATGTAACTATGTTTTAAAGTACTTTACCTCATTTTGAAAGAATTTTACATTATATTGAGTAATTCCATTTCATGCCACTTTTTATTCTACTACATTTCAGAGGGAAATATTGGACTTTCTCCCTCTTAATAGTTGCTTTAAAAATTATGTTATTCCTATACAAAACATATGAGAAGCATTTATAGATTAAAGTAACCAACAGTATTTGTTCCATGCTTTGCTGCATCAGCAAAATTTACATTTACTTTTGATAGATACTTTAGTATGCCTTCATTTTGCCATTTAGTCGTTGGTACTTTCACTCAACATTGTTAATGCAGGAATTAGCTTTTAATGTCCCCTCCCCCCCTCAACATTGCAACTTATACTTCACTAAATTATCTGAATACTTCATCTACTGCTGTGCCTTTGAGTCCATTTGAAATGTGTTTTCATGACAGTTTCCAAATCCACACAGGCCTGTTCGTGCTGCATGCTCCTGTACATACAGAACCAATGATATTTATTAAAAATAAGGGGAGTAACAAAACTGGTAAGTGAAATACGTAGAATTTGCTTTGTATTTCACTCCATGTCCATTCTAGTAAACATTCCCTTGACAGTATTTCTCACTTCACACTTTAAAAAGACTTCAAGTCAAGCAGCCCTGTCCTACAGGAATGTCAATCAAATCCGTGCGTCCACCGCCACAAGATGGTGCTGTTTTCACCACAAACCGGATGAAAGACTTTATTTGGATGAAACCCAAACAGCACCTCTCTACCACCGGCGTCAAAGATACACGTGAGCGGCAAGATCAGTAATGATAATGGCCAGTTTAACAGCGACGCAATCGTCATTTATGATGAATGTGTAAAACTTTATCAACAAGAGTGTTGTCGTGGCCGAGTGGTTAAGGCGATGGACTAGAAATCCATTGGGGTCTCCCCGCGCAGGTTCGAATCCTGCCGACAACGATTCCGTTTTCACGGCGGAGGCACCCGTAATACTTTGCTGGAGCACCACAGTAATCATCTGCAAGCAGGTATGACGATGCAGAAAAGTAATTCCCGATTTAACAACGGACTGCAAAGGTGAGTTTCAAAGTAACAGTCTGGTGTTTTAAGTACATTGTACTGATATTACATATCAATTCACAGCAAAGTATTTCAGTTTTTACTTCACTACATTTTAGCTGGTGAAACATGCTGTATACTGTTACAGATTTAACTACATAATGATAGATAGATATATACTTTATTTATCCCAAGGGAAATTCAAGTAATATAAAATGGTTAAAAATCCATCCATGTTTTAACCAGCTATAACATTGCAATGCTGTTTGAAGGTTAATATAAATAAACTTGACTTGATTGATTGATTGAATACAACAGTAACAAGCCAATAATACAATATGACACTCATTAAAGGGGCATTATGTAGTTTAAAGCGGGGCAGTTTTAAGATTGCAACCAGGTGTGTGCTCGTACGTGTTACGAAGCAAACAGTGGCAGGTCCGAGCTAATGTAACGTTAGCTGGCTGCCCTGCATTACTATAGGCTAGTAAACAAATTGCTCCACATTTGCTTTTTATAGTTTCATCCTTTCTCGCCGGTTAAAATAATACATTGACATAATGCCGGTGGTACACAGGATAGTAATATGGGTCGCATTAGTTGGTGAAGTAATGTGGAAAGCCATACCACTTTTCACTGTATAACGTTAGCAACTGCTCGGTGTTAGGCGGCGAGCTAACGTGACTTTCTCTGTCTTTCTCCATCTTTTGTCATGTTCACTGTGTTTTTACTCAACATCATCTGAATCTGTTTGGTCCGATGGGCTTGTTGTTTTGTATCCTTACGTGGAGCCTGTGTTTTACTGGGAGCCGTTTGTTTTATGGTGTTGATGGGCTGCATGTCGTTAGCTGCCGCGTTGTCGCTGTAGCCTGAGAGGCTCTGGAGTGCGCACAGAGCTGAATCACGCCGGTGTCCTCACATTTATATAATAGTGGCTGATGCAAGCAACAGAGAAAACAGGCGTCTGCTTCATTTCTACATGAGTTTGAGCCCGTTGAAAATAAGGCAATGAAAATTTTATTTATTAAGTAATTTAATTGAAAATCTACATATAGCCCCATTTTAAAGACGGGGTAAGCGATTCTAATCCCGTACACGTCTTTTTGTCAAATTTAGTGAATAACATTATCTCCTCACAATCTGCTAGCTGTGCGCCAAAAAAAATCGGCTAGTGTTAGTACTCATTATTTGCCTAGCGACATTCAGCTTACTTTCTAGTTTGCGAAGACATGCTGTTGCTGTGATGTTAGCAATGTGATGCTGGCTCAGGGACTCTGTATGTTAGCTTCCCAGCAGCGACTGTAACGACAATATGCTAACCCAAAACTTAGCTAACGTTACATTACCTGCTGTGTCGTTGTTCGCTCTCTATCATGGTTTGACTTGGCGTTGGATTTCTCCAGAAACGCTTGCTCCATCTTTAAGTTATTCTGATGATTGTTTTTACTGTTTGTACTTATCTTGTGTTTAAAAAGCACTTTTTTATTCAACTAAACATATTTTCCACACTGCCTGGTTACCCATTAATAAAGAATAAAGCCATTCATTCAGAGAATGAGTATTATCTATAATCTTAAGTAGGGACAAAGCGCACCCGTATTCCTCACAATTTAAATCAAAGAAAAGATTATAGTTGAAATATTAAGTTTTTAGGTGGAACTGTGCTCAGGGTCACCCATGGGTCATTCTGGCAGACTTAAAAATGTTCCCAGCCTGTTTGTAATGGACCTGTAGGCATTCAATCCAGGCATGTGTTTGTTTGTCTGAAAGCCAGATCCCCTGTGTTTTATTAACTTCAAACACTTAATAATGTTAACCCAATTTTTCCAAGTTTGACACTTAACAGCTCTCAGATCACCTCTTCTCTCACAGTCCATCATTTCAGCTTGATCTCCCTCCCCTATCCCTCAGACAAATCAAAAAAATTAAAAGTCAGAGTCCTGTACTACAGAGAGTGGACCCCAGAAAAAAAAAATACTGATTTGTGCTCATGATTGTTCTCCATAACACCTCCCAGGCTACCCTGGGTTCAACCCCTGGGCACACCCCTATTTGTATACACATCTGTGTGTCTGCAGAGTACCTAGCAGAACCAGTCAGTGTAATCTTGTCAGTTTCCTGTCTTCTCCAGTTTCGTCTCAAATCCGGTGGGCCGAAGCCAGGGAGGAGTAGGAAGGAAATTTCTGTGAAAGTCTGAGTATCTGCTCTCATCTGAGGTCGATAAATGTGGTGAATCATTGACATTGAATGCAAGATTATCCCACAATGAATTTCACTTTTATTTACCATTAACAATAAAACTTCTTACCTTGTTTCCAGAAATAAAAGACTTTACTCAGATGTAGATAGCCTGAGATGTGATTTTTAATTTTGCCATCTGTGGGTGTGCCATTTGCCACTATTACTTGGATTTGCATGATCAAGTTTAAACAGATTCAAGTGCAGGTTGACTGAGCACTAAGTTTGTTCCAGAAACAGCTTGCAAGAGATTGTGGGTGGAGGAGGAACATACTGCGCCAGCGTTAAATCTTGGATGCAACTTGAAATTTCATGTTAGTCTTTTTAGATTACATTTTGACACAAAGCTACTGCCAATAATACAGTATGGGTGGGGAGGGGATTTTTATACATATGAATAAATGCTTTTAAAAAATTTTTAATCAGGTACAGGAAGAGACAGGAGTCATTCTTAAATAGGAGCTTTTTTGTGGTTGTATTAATTTAGGTTTATTTTAGTATTCGCATGTGAGACACTACAAGAAACTATATAGCTTTTTATAATAATAATAATAATAATAATCCTTATTTGTAGAGCACTTTTCAAAAACAAGTTACAAAGTGCTTTAACAAGTGTAAAGAATAATACAAAAAAAAGATAAGAGCATGAAAATTTTATATAAAATTAGTAAAATACAATAAAATAAAAGGGATAAAATAAAGTCAAATAAGATCGGGAAAAGCTCTCCTATAAAAGTATGTTTTAAGAAGGGACTTAAAAGAGTTCACTGACTCAGCCGACCTGATTTCCTCGGGCAGGCTGTTCCAGAGCCTCGGGGCCCTGACAGCAAACGCTCTGTCCCCTTTAGTTTTCAGTCGAAGACTCTGGAACAGACAACAGACCTCTGCCCGAGGATCTCAAGGTACGTGCTGGTACGTATGGGACTAAAAGGTCAGAAATATAACAAGGCGAGAGGCCATGAAGAGCTTTAAAAGTGATCAATAGAATTTTAAAGTCAATTCTAAAACATACTGGGAGCCAGTGTAATGAAGCTAAAATAGGAGTAATGTGGTCATATTTCTTTGTTCTGGTTATCAGGTTTTTACCTGATAAACAACATTATGTTTGCACTACTGAAAGCGGTTATAATTGGAATTTGTATTATATAAATGTATCAAATGGCAATATGAAGAAAATGTGAAAGAGGTCATAGTTACGGTAAAACAGATTATAATCATCTAAATGGGTGACCCACAACTTTACTGTTTTGGTTCACTCTCACTGCTCTCATAGTGTTTTCAGATATATGTATAAATATACTCATCTGACGCCTAGCTGAACAAAGTAGAACTTTTAGTAGCTGATGTAAAGAAGACTGAATAGTGGACTTGGGAATGTCCATTGGGAATGGGACCCACTTGAATATT